TTGCCCAGGCTGGAGTGCAGTGGCGTGATCTCGGCTCACTGCACCCTCCGCCTCCCGGGTTCAGGCACTTCTCCTGCCTCAGCCTCCTGAATAGCTGAGACTACAAGTATGCGCCACCATGTCCAGCTAATTTTTATATTTTTAGTAGAGACTAGGTTTCACCATGTTGCCCAGGCTAGTCTTGAACTCCTGACCTCAGGTGATCGGCCACCTCAGCCTTCCAAAGTGCTGAGATTACAGGTGTGAGTCACCACGCCCAGCCATTTGCAACTTTTAAAAAGTGCCAGGATAGGAAAAACTTACATGCTTTAACAGGCTTTAACAACTTTTGTGTATTCTTTTTTTAAAGATTCTACATGGTTTTTCCTCCTTTTCTATTTTTATAAATGTTGTATTTTAATGTCTCTGCTACATTGTTTGCTTAAAGTTGGATAATTCTTGATTCTTTCCCATAGTGGGGAAATGGGCTATGGGATGAATAATTCAAAGCGGTAGGTATTTCCTACTCTTTCATGAAATGGCTATATTATTGCCATGGGTATCTGTTCAGATCTGTTAAGATCAGCATGCGTTTGCAAGGCACATGCCACCAAAAGTGTTGGGGTCGGGGGGATGTGAACTGCGCAGGATGGAAAGCAGGAGGAAGTCAAGCCAGGAATTCAAAGCTAACCACGGATCATCCACAAAGTGGGCAATGGAGCTATACGGCATTTGGGTTGGGAGTGATTGGTTGTATGGCTGTGGCTGACCCTCCCTGGTCTTCAGTGCAGGTCAAAAGGTGTGATTCAGGTCTCCTCTCTTCTGTCTCTGCAGAGCCATTGGCAAGCTCAGCCTCCTCCCACCCCGGAATGAGCGACAATGCACCTGCTTCCTTGGAGAGCAGCAGCAGCTCCACCCCTACTAATTGTAGCACCTCCTCGGCCATCCCGCAGCCTAGCGCAGCCACCAAGCCTTGGCGCAGCAAATCCCTCAGCGTGAAGCACAGTGCCACGGTATCCATGCTCTCCATTAAGCCCCCTGGGCCTGAGGCCCCCAGGCCCACACCTGAAGCCATGAAGCCGGCCCCCAACAATCAGAAGTCCATGCTGGAAAAGCTGAAACTTTTCAACAGTAAAGGGGGCTCAAAGGCAGGTGAGGGCCCGGGGTCCCGGGACACAAGCTGTGAGCGGCTGGAGACTCTGCCCAGTTTCGAAGAGAGTGAGGAGCTGGAGGCCGCTGGTCGCATGCTCACCACCATGGGCCCTGCTTCCAGCAGCCCCAAGATTGCACTCAAGGGCATTGCCCAGAGGACTTTTAGCCGGGCGCTGACCAACAAGAAGAGTTCTCCGAAAGGCAATGAGAAAGAGAAGGAGAAACAACAGCGGGAGAAGGATAAGGAGAAAAGCAAGGACCTTGCCAAGAGAGCCTCTGTGACGGAGAGGCTGGACCTCAAGGAAGAGCCAAAAGAAGATCCCAGTGGAGCAGCCATGCCCGAGATGCCAAAAAAGTCCTCCAAGATCGCCAGCTTCATCCCCAAAGGGGGTAAGCTCAACAGTGCCAAGAAGGAGTCCATGGCCCCTTCCCACAGTGGAATACCAAAACCAGGAATGAAGAGCATGCCTGGGAAATCCCCAAGTGCCCCAACACCTTCCAGGGAAGGGGAGCGGAGCCGGAGTGGGAAGCCGAGCTCAGGGCTCCCCCAGCAGAAGCCCCAGCTGGACGGCAGACACTCCAGTTCCTCTTCCAGCCTGGCATCCTCAGAAGGAAAAGGCCCAGGAGGGACCACCCTGAACCACAGCATCAGCAGCCAGACCGTCAGTGGGTCCATCGGGACCACCCAGACCACAGGAAGCAATACCGTCAGTGTTCAGCTACCTCAGCCCCAGCAGCAATACAACCATCCCAACACTGCCACGGTCGCACCTTTCCTGTACAGGTAGGAGTTGCCACCCACCTGTGCTGCCTGGGACATTGGGTAAAAGAACCTTTTAGTGGATTCCGGCTCTGTGAGGACAAGAGCTAGGCTGTGCTCCAGGAATATTTAAGCCAGTAGCTAAGAAACCATGTGATAAGCTCCTAAGAGAGGCAGACACAGTGGGCCCCAGGGAGCAGTTCATACAGCACAGGTCAGGGGAGGAACAGAGAAAGCTGAAGAAGGGAAGTAAAATGTATGCTGATCCCAGGATGTGTAGGCATGTGGGGACCCCAGGCCTTGTAGCAGCAGCTTGCCTAAGCAGAAGTGTGAAGGCCTAAATGTGAGGGTGGGGATGGTTTTGTGTCACTTGACAGGCTCCGGCGTTAGTCCTAACACATCCCAACATACCTTGAAAAAAAACACACAAAAATAAACACCTGGCTCAATAACTAAGATTTCTTATAGCAGGGATTGCCTTGAACATCCAGATTCTCACAGTCCCTGCTGCTTGCTGGGGCTTTCAGAAGGGAGAGGGACATGGGGGAGAAGAGTCATGGTAGGGGAGGGGCCGGTTCTGGGAGAACAGAAGAGCTCATGTTCTGAGAGATAAACCTGGGCATTTGTGGTGATGGATGGATCCTTCTGTCCTTATCTGTCCCCCTGAACCCCTGTCTCTTTGATGGCGCATCCTCAGGACCATGGGAGACTGTGTGGAGCCAGGTGCTGCTGTTCTGTGTGATTCTAGCCATCGATATCGCTTGTTGCTCAGGCTGCACCACACCCCTTACTGAATAAGGCATGCAGGCTCCAGAGGCCGTGTCACACACATGGATGAGTCCACTCCCGGCAGATGGAAGCTCCCCAGCCCCTGCCCTTGACATTCTTATAATTCCCAGAGCTTTCATTGACATTACCCCACTCAGTTCTGTGCTGGAGATGAGCAGTGCATTTGGCCACACTGCACAATTGAATAACTAATACTTGTACACACAAAAGAGGATTAATGATTGAGTGTCACATTCTAGACACTTATTTTACAGTTGTAACTCAAGTGCATACAGATGCACAACTGTATACACATTCATACAGCCATATGTGTGGACACACATTAAAAGTAACATGTAAGTATGGACACTAGTCATACATAAAATGCAAAGGCACATATGCATACATGCATTTACATGCCTGTTCAGGTGCATAGGTGCATGCCCAGACTTTCAGCTTGCTATGTTTGTATGATTCCCCAAAGAATTCAGTATTCCGTCTTTCCTCCTGAGTTGTGTTGTAGTGGGCTCTGTTACAGTTCCTGCCAATAGCTGGTGGAGGGACTAGCTTACGTGCTTTCAAAGGAAAGCCAGCCAGCACAGGGCCAGCAAAGGAATGTCAGGCATTGCCCTCCTGCCTTTTCTTCTGCCCACATTCCCTTTCAGTGAGGGTCATACCGATCTTTTTAATTGGGAGAAGGTCTCATTTTATTGAATCAAGTCATCAGCTCAGCTAACAGTCCTGAGAAGAGCCCCAGGGCTTAGATAATAACTCAGCTGGTCTACAGGCACAGCTTTTAATACAATTGTTCTCTGAAGTGTGAAGGCAACTGAATAGCTCCACATGAAATTTCTGTAATTCCAATAGCATTATTAGTCGTGAGGTAATACATGTTCAAGATTCACAAACTCTCAATTTGCATTTTCAGAATTAAAATATGACAGCCTTTGATCACCAATCCCATTCCTTTTTGGCTGTTCGCTATAATCATTTGAAAGATTATAAAACATATAACCTTTTTTTATTTCAAGATTTTCTATCAGAAGAAAAAGTCTTAATGATAAAGAGCAAATGTCTGAAAAAGAGGAGGAAGAGGAAAACATCTAGGATGTGTATCTGACTAGCCCCATTTTTATGTTACTGCCCACTCTGGGTAACGTCTCTCTGGCCCCTTTGAGGTACCCTCGTCTTTAATGGAGTCTGGGAAGTGATGCTGGAAAGAAGAGCACCAGGATAGGAATCAGGACACCTGGGCCTATCCTTTGTCAGCCCTTGATGCCCTCTGAGGTCTTGGGCACTGGCTGCAGGAACAGCTGTTGATTGAGTGCAGGAAGAGACTCCACTAAGGACTTTCCACATCTTAGCTCATTTCATTCTTCCTGCACTTCCATGACCTAGCAGCTTAGGGGTAATTAAGCAACTTGCTCCAAGAACTAGGCTAGAAGAGCTCACATTTAAAACCAAATGTGGGCTGAGCATGGTGGCTTATGCCTGAAATCCCATCATTTTGGGAGGTCAAGGCAGGCATATCACTTGAGGTTAGGAGTTCAAGACCAGCCTGACCAATGTGGTGAAATGCTATCTCTACTAAAAATAGAAAAATTAGCCTGGCAAGGTGAACTATGCCTGTAGTCCCAAATATTTGGGAGGCTGAGGCATGAAAATCACTTGAACCTGGGAAAAGGAGGTTTCAGTGAGCCATAAATGCACCACTGCACTCCAGCCTGGGCAATAGAACAAGACTCCGTTTCAAAAAAAAAAACAAAAACCCAAGTTTGTCTAACTAGTGAGACTAGGCTCTTAACCACTAGTCTTGACTCTAAATCACTTTATCTTCATTGTCTTCATCTGGAAAGTGAGAAGATTAGATTAGATTAGATTCTATAAAATGGTTTATTCTCCCTTTCTGCTCTAAACTTCTCTCCCTCAAGCTTATGGTTCACTATATATAAATTATAATTGCTCTTCCCAAAACCTTTCCATGTTACAGTTGTTACCAAGGAGTAAAGGGAAGATGGGTCATATTTTAAAAAAATCACTCAGAATGAATTATATTTATCAATTCATATGTAACTATTACTTTATAGTTTACTAAGAGTTGTGCATCACGTCACATTTGATTTTTATAGAACCAGAGGAGGTTGCCATTATTATCCCCATTGTACAGATGAGGATGCTGAGATTCAAAGAGGGGAATTGACTTAGCTCAAATTTGCATGGCTACCAAGTTATAGATCTTAGACCTGGAGCTAGCTGAATATTTAGACTTCCAAGTCTAATGTTCCTTCGAGTCCCTAGCATCTTCTGAGACTTAAACACTTCTTATTTATCCGGTCCACATGCCCTTCTTGTGTTGCCTGTGCAGCATATGAACTTGAACTGACTTTTGCCTCCGGAGAACTCTCAATCTAGTTGAGGACAGATTTACTTATTAGATCACATTTTAGCCAACAGGAGAATAGAGTGCTATAGGAACACAAAAGAGGTGGGAAGATCAGCTGGCAAGGAGTCAAGAAAGGCTCCCAGGCAAAGGTGACATGGAAGCTGCATCTTAAAGACAGATTAGGAGCCAACTAAGGAAGGAGGAGAAGAGCCTTTAGGCAGAGAGGTTGCAGTTACTACAAAGATAAAGTTGTTAAAGGCATGTGGAGAGAAGGCACATGTAGGTGGAGCATAGTAGAGCTGTATGTAAAGGTTCAGAAAGGCAGAAGATGGGGATGGAAATAAAGGAAGAATTTGGCCATCATCTACCACAATAAGGAGTTTAGACCTTATTTCGTAGGTAATGGAAACACTGAAGACAGGGTTGTCATCACATCGGTATTACAAAAATCAACGAAGGATTGTGTGGGGAGTAGTCCAGACTTAGGAAGAGTGTAGAATGGAGATTACGGATTCAGATGCCTAATTGGCCCCTAAATGGTCATCTAGATGGGTGGCTCAGGGTGAGTGGGGCAGTGGCAGAGAGAGCTATACCTCTTTAGAGGATGCAGCCACCACTTGGCACCAGCAGATGGCGCTCTACACGAACAAACCCTCAGTCTTTCCCAGACTTTGTTTTTGTGGACGAAGGCAGAATTCCAGATATTTATTGTGAAATATCCCAATTTTAAAATATTGAGCTAATTTTAAAACTTTAAAATATTATACAGACCAGTAGGAATAAATCGGGCTGATTTCCACACCTGGCTGCCATTTTAACCTCCAGGTGTGAGGTACCTGTTTCAAAGCGCTCATAAGGCCTCAACGGAGACGCTGAGGGCCTGGACCCTGGCTGAGGATAAAAGGAGCACAGGGATTGTGAAATCCTTTAAAGGTAAAGATAGCACAGTTGAGAATGATGGCCTCAGTGGGAAGAACAAAGGAGGGAAGAACAGTTGGATGACTTGAGGTTTATCAGGACACATTCCCCGTCCTCCACTCTCAGTCTCGGCAAACGTTTCCTTCGCAGACAGTGAAATTGGTTGAATCAGCTCACGATGCCAGCGCATGAATAATGTTATACGCAGGGTCATGCATCTGAGTGTAATTACACATTTGCATGCCATACCGAGTGAGCAGAGGTAACTGTGACATGAAAACACTGCACGAAGCCATTGCTTCAATTTGCTTGACAAATAAGGACATGGAGAGGGTTTGGGGAAGTACAGATTTCAGTCAAGTGTTGTAATAATGATCAATGAGACCTTTCATGTCAGAAGAGCTAAGCTCTGAATCAGAGACCTGGAGGGCAAACGCACCTGCTTGGCACCCACTTCCAACTGGTTTAATGGCCACCTTTGTAGAGAGAGCCATGTCAGGAGGATTTTGGGGCGGGGATGCTGTTAATACAGTCATCTTTATGTTTGACTTTTTGGTGTTGCTGGTTTCTTAGAAGTTGTTCTTTGGCATAGGTTAAATTATTCAAACCACCCAGCACCCTCCAGCATGTATCTGGCTAGACCTAGCACCCTGAGGGAGATTCAGAGAAGCATTTCCCAGTGAGGGACTGCAGACCCTCCATTTGGACAATGAAAAGTTTATCTTTACAGTTCAGTGGCTTTTCTGTTCTTAGGACATTGCTCCACATACGGCTCATGAATTATTTAGCCTCAGTCTGCTGGTCTGCTCTGTTCTGAAGCTTCTTGTGCAGGAGGTGATGGTGAGCACTGTGGTTAGACCGCAGTGGTCCAGATGGGGTAGTTGCCTGTCATGACAAGTGTATCTGCTTTGGTTTGTATGTGAAGGTCTCAGACAGACACCGAAGGGAATGTTACTGCCGAGTCAAGCTCAACAGGTGTGAGCATGGAGCCCAGCCACTTCACCAAGACTGGACAGCCTGCTCTGGAAGAACTCACTGGTGAGTATGGAGCCCCAGAAATCTGTGTCTGTTGGTGATGAGGCCACCCTTGCAATACCTGCTGGAATGGCATGAACCCAGCTTGATTGAAAGTTGCATTATGGTTGCATTGACTGTTAAGAAACTTTCTTTCTTTCTTTTCCTACTATTTTCCTTATTCTTTTTCTTCCCTTTTCTCTCCCTCATACAGTTTCTTCCCTCCTCCCCAGAATTGTAAACAAGTCTCTTAGTGGTGTGCAAATCCTACTTTTAACATATATTCAGTTTTATTCATTTAGGGACTCTGGACTGCACTGTTACTTAACTTTGAATCTTCTTGTTCACTCTTCAGATAAGTTGTTTTTCAACAAGATTTAAAACTCTAAAATAGTGGATTTCGTTCCTGTGTGGAAGCACTGATTTAAAATGTGTTCTTAGAGTCCTACACGAATTGGGGGGGAAAATTGTAACATGCTTCTTTTACTAAAAACAAAAATCTAAATTTTATTTAAATGTATCCTAGACAATGATAATTACAGGGACATGATACTGTATCATAGCCTAAAATTTGCAGTTGTTGTATAGTTGATTCCACAAGCATTTATTTATTGATGTTTTGCTGTCACATTTTTAATTTAAAGAAGAAAATTCACCCCTGAATTAGAATTCTTCCTACAGCAGATTCTAAGCTGTCATCTTCTCCCTTTTCCCCATTCCCCAACTCTGTGATCCTGGCTCCAGCAACTTCTATCCAGGGAAGCGAGTGTAAGCCATGGATTTATTAGTGGCTATGTCACTTCTCATATCTTACCACTTCCAAAGTTGGGTTAAGAACTGAATCCGTGTTTATTTTATTAAACTACATAGCCCTGATTACACCATTTTAATAGTCACATTACAGCTGTGGAATTTGTCTGCAGCCCAATGATTGAACCTTACCCATCTTGCCATTAGCCCTAAGGATTAATTTCAGAGGATCTGGGCGATCTATTTCCTTCTGGTTCCACTGGCTGCGCACAGTGATGGTGCAGAGATTCTTCAAGCCATTTGTAAGCAATCCATCTTAGAATGATCCGGGCCCCACATTTGGGATTGATTTTGTTTCCTTCTCTTCGATGTTCGTAGCTCCCTTGCATATGAGTACATGGATAGCTCAAGAAAAGGACCAGCAATCAGAAGGGTGTGGAGTTCAGATGGCTTCTTGGGTCTCCACGCACATTCCAGATTGCGTTCTGATGTGCGGACATCAAAAGAGCAAGGCCAGAGCTTCAGATCCCAGCATGGTTCAGATGTGTGGCCTGTGGAGTGGCGTCGATTTCTGTCAAACGTTGAGTCTCAGCAAAATCCACATTTGAAAAGCAAAAGGAACAGCCAGAGAATATTCCAAATATTACCTAGATTTCAGAGTGACAGACTGGAGTATGTTATCTTCCCCTAATTTTTCTTTTTATCTCCATGTCTCCACTGTACCAGGCCTTGAGAGCTTGGAAAACCTGAGATGCTGTCAGTCAGCCTTGGGGAACAGACCTGTGCAACCAGTAGTGTTTGACTATGCACTCTTTGGTATCAAATCAAATGGGATTGGTCACTAATGAAAATTCTTTATCAGGGTGACATGTCTTTATTTTCAAGCAGTAGAAATCACATGTGTGACTATGTTGAATTTTTTTATGGAGACACTGAATAATAAATAGCATGAGGCTGAATTTAACTTACCCACAGCCAGTCCTTTGAAATGACAGTGAATGGGAGGACTGATTAGAAATGGACACTTACTTAACTATTTGATCCATCACTTAGTTCTTCCCCCTGCTTATGCAAATGGGCAAGTTTTCCTACAGTGTGTGGTCATGTGCAGAGCATTGTAGTTGAGAAATGCATCTTGGATGATAGAATTTGAAGGAACAACACACACCTTATTATCCAGCTCATGAATTCCTTCTTTAGCTTACTGATGACTCATCTTTCAGCATCTGCTCAAATATTTCTTGGATAAAATGTTCCTTCATAAGGCAGCCCTTTATTTTGTTGTTGTTGTTGATAGCTTCAACAGTTAATGGAGTTCTTTATTCTTATATTTCCAGTCACTGAATATAATTCAGCCTTCTGAAGCCCCAGACAGTTTTTATTCTTTTCCATGTAGTAACATATCCCTTAAGCCTTCTTTATTTCCAAGTAAAAATCCTGGATGTTTTTCATGGCCCTTGTGTAACACCTTGATATCCTCCAAACCCAGTCATATTTGCTCACCATGTGATGTTCTCCCAATCGTGGCTAGTAGCTTGAGGTAGAGCTGTCTGTGGCAAAGTCCAGATCACTACAAGTAGACACTAAATTTTTAAGACCTCTCCATATCTATGAGTTGAAAGTGCCCTGCTGTTTCCACTGGAGCTCGATTGTGTTTTTCCTGTGTTCAGGCTATGAGTTAGTAAATCTTATACATTCAGGCCATCGTCCAAGGAGGCATCATTGGCAGTTCAGAATGTGCTCACCTAAGCATGTCAGTGGACCACTGTCTTGTGTTTCTACATTACCCTTGGGATCTGATGTAGTGTAGAGCCCTGGAAGGGGGCAAATATTTCTCAGCAGTACCCACAAGAGGGAAACAGGGCTTTTTTTTTTTTTTTTTCCCGAATGAGAACAGTATTTATTATCTCAGTCTCTTTGCTGGTGAATCTGGGTACAGCTTAGCTGGTGCCCCTGGTTCTATATCTCTTGTCACATCTCTCATGGAGCTCCAGTCAGGCTGTCGGCTAAATCTGCATTCATCTCAAGGCTTTTCAGGGCTGGGGAATGAGTTACTGAGCACTCATTTTGTGCTATATGCCATGTCATCTGACTCTCTCACTAACCCTTCTAGCAGAGGGGTTTTATGTCTATTTTACAAATGAGATCCAGAGAGAAGTAGTGACTTGTCCGGGGTCAGGTGACTAAGAAGCAGCACTGCCACATTTCAAATATTAATCTGTGGAAATGCAAAGTCCATGCTTTTCCTACAGCCCCACACTGACCAAGTGTGTGTTGGGTAATAAGTATTTCTTAGGCATCTATAAATTGTGTGGGGGTTACCAAAAGGAAAGGTGAGACACCATCCCTATCTCAAAGATCTTTGGCTTTCTGTCTGGATGCAGTGGCTATACCTGTAACCTTAGCACTTTGGGAGGCCAATGTGAGAAGATCATTTGAGGCCAGGAGTTTGAGACTAGCCTGAGCAACATAGCAAGACTCCATCTCTACAAAGAAAACAAATTAGCCAGGCATGGTGGTACATGCCTGTAGCCCTCGCTACATGGGAGGCCAAGGTGGGAGGATTGGTTGAGCCCAGGAGTTTGAGGCTGCTTTGAGCTAGGATCATAGCACTGCACTCCAGCCTGAGCAACACAGCAAGAGCCTGCTCTATAAAATAAAATAAAATAGTTGAATTTCTAATGGAGGGTTAAGACCAGCAAATAGGTCATTAATAGCATGATGGATTAGCAAATATACTTATTATATTTTGTGTGTGTGGTTAAGGTAATCAATTGAGGTAATCTGAAAACCTGTGCCTAGACTTAGCTTCATAATCAATGTTTTCTAAAGGTTATAGAGCTAGCCTAAGCATCAGTATGTTTTTAGCAGCCTTATATACATAAAATGTGGCCAAACTGTCAGTAAAAGATTTTACTGATGGTCCAGAAGGTAGATGCAATTACATTCCTCCAAGATCATTAAGGGAAGGTACAACAGATATACATCTTTGCTTTTGTTTAAAAACATATAGATATGTATGTATTTTAAAACATTGGGTGGGAAATTAAGTTTGACCACTTTTCAGATAAGAGAAAAATGCCTTCCAAATTTCTTTGAGTTAAAAGGGGGAAGGAGGGGATTGAAAGCACTTGCATTTTCAAGTTAAATCTCCTCAGTGAAATCATGGGCATATCCATCCCAGCCTCCAGGCACTACCATGCCAAGAACAACCTAAGAAAGTTGTTATCTATCTCAGAAGAAAAGCTAATTCAATGGCATTTCTTAGCTGCCTAGTGCCCTGTTAATTCTGTTAATCATTATTGCAGTTATTGCCCTTCTCTTTTTTATAAGGCTAAAAGAAATGGAATTAGGCCAGGTGCTCACACCTGTAATCCCAGCATTTTGGGAGGCTGAGATGGGCCGATCACCTGAGGTCAGGAGTTTGAGATCACCTGGGCAACATGGTAAAATCCCATTTGTACAAAAAAATAAAAACAATTAGCCAGGTGTGGTGGCAGGCACCTATAATCCCAGCTACTCTGGAGGCTGAGGCAGGAGAATTGCCTGAACCCAGGAGGTAGAGGTTGCAGTGAGCTGAGATCGTACCACTGTGCTCCAGCCTGGACAACAGGGTAAGACTCCATCTCAAAAAAAAATTTTTTTTGATTAATAAGTGTAGATCTTCTAGCTACCACAAGCTATGCTTGAAAAGTAGGGCCTAAGATAGCTGCATATATCACTGATAGAAAACAAAATACCTCTGTTTTTGGGGTCGGGGGGCAGAAAATGACTCCCTGGTCAGACCTAACCTGAGCATGTCTCTGTTGGAGACACTGGGGAAATGTGTTTACATCTCAGACTAGGCACTTGGCTTTTCCCACATGCTACACTTCACCTATTTGAGAAGGCAGCCGAAAGAAGAATCTCCTTGGACTTCACACTTCCTTTGGGCATCCATTCAATCATTCATTGATTCTCAAATCCTTATTAAGCACCCACGACGAGCCACGTGCTGACCCTGGAACATGGTTATGGTCGCAGACACGAATGCTGCTCTTAGGAAGCTCACGGTCGGCCAGAGAATTTAACTAGTCTTAACCCTCTGCTTTCCAGGGGAAGATCCTGAGGCTCGGCGGCTGCGGACGGTGAAGAACATCGCTGATCTGCGGCAGAATTTGGAGGAAACCATGTCCAGTTTAAGGGGAACTCAGGTTACACACAGGTATCTATGGTGTGGATTACTTTACTGAAATAGCTGGTATCTTAATTTTCAGTACTTCTCCTGTGTCTGTTCATACCACTAGCAAAGTGATTTGGTTATAATGGATCAATAGTCTTGCTTTCCAAATGTGCCGGAATTCACAAAGTATGCCATAAAACATGCAGAAGCGGGTTATAGGAAACAAAAATTAGTGTAGACAGATTTTTCCCAAAAGCAGAAGGTTGCTAAATCCATTCAGCAGTGGACACTGTAGATCAGCTCTATTTAAATTTCACTTTACTTGCATTTTCTAAAACTATCTGGTGCTGTTGAAATGAGCAGGTGAACTATATTTGGCCTGTGTGATAAACTGAGTAACTTGAATTCTTACCCAGTCTTCTGACTATGCAGCCCTCTGTAATATTGTTAGTCATGCACATGCATAAAACACGTAAGGAAATATTTATAAAAACTAAGCATCATGTTTAAACTCTGATCTAGTTGGATGAAATCTAGGATGATACTAGAAACATTTGTCATGTGCTTTCATTGTTGAACAAGGAGTTAAAGAGGATGCAACCCTGGGCTTTCCTTTTTGGGCAGGAGGAGGTTTTATAGTTTGTGGAAATCAAGGAAAGTCCTCGTTGTCCCTACTGAGCTCCCTGGGAGTCTCCTTTGCTTCTCCAATACGTGACTACGGCAAGGAACCCACACTGTCAGCAGTTTTGGCAGACTGGGGTTAACCACTGTGGGTTCCATCTCCAGTAGGACCAAGGCCCAAAACAAGGAGCCTTTCCAAGATCAGAGGAAAACAAAAACAGCTTAAGGGACCAAGTTGGCTCTTTCAGAGGAGAGTAAATTCGGGATTTGGAGGTGGTACCCTCTTAAACCTTTAGGTATCTGAATGACGGGGAGTCAGATATTGGATCTTGTGACTCTTCCATTAGGTGTGAAACATCCGTCTTTCCACCATTGTCACTGACCCTGACTCAATGTTGGCATAGCAGTTTCGTGGTGGGATGCTAATTAGACTTCAGTGGTTTCTCCTGCAGGGAAGAATCTCACTCACTCTGCTCAGTGAGGAAATTCCAGTTTTCCTGTAGAAGTGCAGATGATAGTCTTGACCAGGCTGCAAGAACCTGCAGCGCTGTGGAGACAGGGGAAGACAGATGCTGCCAAGAGACTGAGTTCGTTCTTGGGCATCAAGCATGAGCTCAATCTCTTGGCAGATTCTGGTCCATGTAACTTGATTGAAGAGGGAACTCAAGCCCAGGCATTTACCAATCTTTCCAGGATTTTTGGATGAAATATGAGAAAAGCAAAAGTCTGGTGGAAATGAACCTCAGAGGGTTAGAAAATTAGGGCTGTCTCCACTGCTCAGTTGGGAGGGAGCTAAGGATGTAAAATGTGGTATTAGGAACTCCTGGTGGGTGGAGAATCCCACCCTTAGCAAAAGAGGGCTGTCATGCGACATCCTAGAATGAATGGGCAAGCGGCAACCTTCATGCCCCATCCTAATCAGTTCAGCAGTTTCTGGCATTTTCTTTCCAGGATCAGAAAGAAAATTCTAATAGTTGAGGTTATTTAATTAGAGTAATTCGTTTCTTGTACCGTGTGTTAGCAGGGAAAGCCTCCGCTAGCCTTTTCAGAATGTTATATAGGTGTGCAGCTTTCCTGTTTCATTTTGAACAGGGGAAACACACCAGGTGGTACGTGGGGGCCGGTTGTTTTATCCTGTTTTGTATATGAGGATTATTTCATAATTCTAAGTAATTAAAGAGCATATAAACTGTGAAGGATACTAGATACCTTTGAGTCTAATCAGATTGGTTTTATGTTTCTAGCACATTGGAAACCACGTTTGACACCAATGTCACCACCGAGATGAGTGGCCGTAGCATACTCAGCTTGACAGCGAGGCCCACGCCCCTGTCCTGGAGACTGGGCCAGTCCAGCCCTCGGCTCCAAGCAGGAGATGCCCCCTCGATGGGCAATGGGTACCCCCCTCGAGCCAATGCCAGCCGGTTCATCAACACTGAATCAGGTCGCTATGTGTACTCTGCCCCTCTGAGAAGGCAGCTGGCCTCCCGGGGCAGCAGCGTCTGCCACGTGGACGTCTCAGACAAGGCAGGAGATGAGATGGACCTGGAAGGCATCAGCATGGACGCCCCCGGCTACATGAGCGATGGAGACGTTCTGAGCAAGAACATCCGGACCGATGACATTACAAGCGGGTAAGTACCTGGGGCCGCCTGGCTGTTCTTTTGTAGGGTTCTATTTGAGTCTTCCAGAGGAGGTCAACTGCCCGCCTGAGTTTCTGCTGTCCATATCAAAGACTGTGTGTCATGAAGGGAAACGCTGCTGGGCTGTGAGTCTGAAGGCCTGGGCAGTCCAGGCTTGGCCAGTAACTCACAAGCACCAAAGTGACACTTGAGAACAAACCATGTCATGTCAGTCCCTTAAGCCAAACCTCGCACTGAGGATGGAATCCTTGCCGGTTAGACGGCCCCCCTGGGCCTGTACCTGCCTCTTAGATCTCACCTTCCCCTCTCCTACCTGTTTCCCCCCTGCAGCTGTCCCTTCCAATCCTCAGTCTTGTCACGCTCTTTCGTTCGTGCCTCACGGCCTTGCACTCTGTGTTTCTCAGCCTGGATTCTGCTTCCCAGAGCTTTGCATGGTAGGTCCTTCTTGCTGCTCAGCTGACACCTCCTTGACCGTGCAATTAGAGGTAGGTGTGTGTCCTGCCTCCTGCCCTAGGCATCTCTACGACTCTAGCAGGCTGCTTTGGAAGCGTATCACTATTTGAAAAGAGCTTGATTATGTGTTGATCCTTTATTGCCCCCCGGCCCCCTCCGACTTGCAGCAGTAAGCACCGTAAAGCCAGGACTTGCCTTGCTCGTTCACCACAGAATCCCCAGTGTGTTGTGTATAATAGGAGCTCATAAATATTGCGAAATCAGTGAACATGTGAATCAGTGAATGAGTGAACAAACCCAGCCTCCCTGTTCCTCTAAGTGCTCATCTGTGAAGTGAAGTGGAGTGATGAGATGATGTCTTGAGGGACCCTTCAGATGGAGCCTGCCTTGACTACAGCACTGGCTGGCATCTTGTTTTTGTGCCCCTCTCAGATCACTGTACAGACTTAGGGTGCAGTGAGTTATTTCACTTGCCCGAGACTTTTTCCTTCATCTGTTAATGTGACTTGCCCAGAAGTTCTCCAAGATCTTTTCCACCTTGAATGTTCTAGCTATTAAAGTTACAGATAAGGAAAAGCAGAACTAATAATTGTGCCACTCATTTCCATAAAAATAATGATCAAAAACCCGATGGGTGAGTCAGTATTTTTATAATTTACATAATAGCTAAACTCTCCTATATGCCAGATGCAGTGCTAGGCGCTTTATACTCTCTTGTTCTATCTCCACAGCAGTCCTTTGAGGTAGATGCTATCATAATCCCTATTTTATAGATGAGCAAAGTGAAGTCCAGGAAGGTTAAATTACTTGCCCAAGGGCTTGCAGCTATTAGGGGCAGAGCCCAGGGCTAGTGGCTCCAGAGCTGATTTCCCTTAAGGGTAGTAGTGTTTCATCTTGCCAACATTTTATTGCTGTATTGAAATAGTATAACTACTAGAGTTTATTTCAAAATTAATTTAATTTTCCTCAGGTCTACCTCTGTGACTAGAAGTGTTCTTTTATTTAATTAAAAACAGAGGCCTGGAGGTGCTTTGGCTTTCAGCCTGCCACTGTTAGAACTATCTTGGTTGTGAAATCTTTGGAAACAGGAGCTGTCAAACCTTTTGTAGGGGCAAAGGGAAAATTTCCCATTCACCCTCTGAAGGTTCACTGAAAACTCACAAAAGGCAGATTTACTGGAGAAAGGACATATAAATGTACTTAATGTATATGCACAGGAGCCTTCAGAATGAATACCCAAAGATATAGGGGAAATAGTCCAATTTTATGCTTAGGCTCTACAAAGTATGGGCAGCTGTGTAGAAACATGATTGGGCAAAATCTAATGCTAATAGATGGAGTGGGGAAACCCAGCAAGGCCTGTCTGTCTAGATCATTCTTAGTCCTTCTGAGCAGCGTTCCTGTCTCCGGGATGTGGGGCAGAGCCCTCTCTGTAACGGAGTTTCTGCAATGAAACAAGGTGGGCCAGATAATTTATTTGTGGCCAGCTTCACACAGAAAGGAAGAGGGAAAATTAGAGTACTTTGTAGGTTTTATGGCTGGCTTTGGGAAAAAAGGGATCTGATTTCTATGGCCCACCTGGGGGGAGAGGGATTCTAGTTTCTATGGCTGACCTCAGGGGAAATAGGATTGAGAGACCGGATGGCAGGAGAAGGCCAGTGAAAAACTTTTGCTTCTGGAGCCTTTACTTTATAGTGTTTTTGAGCCCCAACACCTTACAATACAACACATTTCGACTGCCTGGAGCGGCTGGGGCAGTTAATGGACTGAGAAATTAAATGATCTTGTCAACTCAGAGCATCACTTTTTTCTAGTTTTCCCTAAACATGAAAAATGATAGCATACACCTGTTACTACAACTGAATTGCCCGTAATTTAATCTTTGTATTATTGTTTAGAAGACTTTTGGTATCTAGCATGGACTCGGATTTATCAATTCCAATTTTCACATACTACTAAAAAATTTCTGGCTTGTTTTGAGGTTTTTGTGCCCTATAATAAAGAGTTTATTTTATTGTCAAACCAGTCTTTTAATTCTACAAAGATGGCCAGTGGATTTATTTTGATGTAGTGTTGATTATGTCCACAAGGTGGAGACATTGAAACACTCTAACCTGAAGCTTAGCGATAGCCAAGTGAGAAACTCCTGGTTTCTTTAACCATCCAAACCACAGCCTTTACCTTTGCTTAAAAGCACCAATGTTTACATTTCAGTTCCGGCTTTGCCAAGCTTACGTTTTAACATGTGCTATAGCACTTAGAGCAAGTGTAGATAAAAAGTTCAGAAATGTAAGCAAAGCACCCAATTACTGAAACTGGAGAACTTTGGTCTGGTTTTCTTTCTGTTCCTTTTAATGTAGAAATTTACCCTCAGCATCAGGAGAGGTAGCCCAGATGGCACCTAATGCTCCTTTAGTTGTAGCATTCTAGAACACGTGTTAAGCCTGTCTCCACTCTGTGGAAATGCATGTGAATTTCTGCTTTAAGGCAATGTTACCAGTTTGTGTTTACATGCAGAGTTCAGGGCAAGACACTTAATGTCTTTTCTACTCATATCATGTTCTTCATATAAACTGGCAAGGCTGTAAATACTGAAAGGCTAGTTATTCTGTGCTTCAGAATCTTCTAAATAAGGCATTGTTGAGGCAGTTGATGTAGTGGAAGAAATATAGGCTCGAATATCATATCAGACAGACCAGGGCTTAAACCCTGCCCAACCTCCTGCCAGCTCTGTGACATTAGGCATGCCATTTGACTTGCCTGAGCTTTGAAGCGCTACAAGTAATATGGTTTTTGAAGCTTCAGTTGGATTTCTCTTTGCAGTTATATTTGATAAAGACCAAAATCCCAGTCAGAGTCTAGATGTCTTATTACCCTCAAACATCCAGGCGCTTGGAAACAATGAAATGATTAAAGTTTTTGTCCAGATGTTTATTTGGCTTAGTAGAAACATAGCCTTGGTGTATGAGGAATATATCAATCTGTACAGAGGCTCTTTGAGGAAAGTTCTTGTGAAGGCTTATAACAAGTTTATTTAGAAAATCTGATATGGAAATAAATTCTGTTTTCCAAAAACCTAAGACCTCTGTTTTTAGTGTGATGCTGTACCTCAGCTTGGAGTAACAGCTATTTTTGGATGCCTGTAGTTCATTTTCTGTACTGGTGTGCACATGCACACCTGTGTGTACCCTTCAGTTCTCCCTGTGGTAGGGCTGTAATTACTTTATTACCATGGAATTTACCTAAGAAATTAAGGGGTAGCCGGGCGCGGTGGCTCAAGCCTGTAATCCCAGCACTTTGGGAGGCCGAGGCGGGTGGATCACGAGGTCAAGAGATGGAGACCATCCTGGTCAACATGGTAAAACCCCGTCTCTACTAAAAATACAAAAAATTAGCCGGGCATGGTGGCACGTGCCTGTAATCCCAGCTACTCAGGAGGCTGAGGCAGGAGAATTGCCTGAACCCAGGAGG